CCCCCATTTGGGAGCCATCAATTTGTTCTCTATATCTGAGTTTGTCTTATCTGTTCTTTAGATCCCATATAGGTATAAGTGAAATCATTGTATTTGTCTTTCGTCTTACTTCACTTAGCATAATACACTCTGCATCTGTGTTGTCACAAATGGCAAGGTTTCATCCTTTTATGGTTGTATAATATTCCATTTTATTTATTTACATCTTTATCTATCTACCAATGGATACCTAGGTTGAGTTAAGCTATTTTTTAAGAGAAAATAATTGTCCAGCCAATAGAAGTAACTTGAAGTTAGTGATTAGTTCACTTGACACTATCTTTAATTTCTAATATAATCTTAGCAGTTAATGATTTTGCTGCTTGTCATACTATAAAGCAAGTAAGTGTACAACTAACTCTTGGTACTTTAGTGTTAAATTACCTTCCTGGATTGATGGCTTTTTGTCCATACCTCTTTTCTGTTTTTTGGGGGGTTGTGTGTGTGTGTCGAGGGAGAGTTGGCGGGAGAAACAGGCATGACAGGGAGGCTCATTCTTTAACAGTAGGTAGGGAAAGGGGAAATAAAATGTGAAACCTACCCAATCACTTTTGCCACTGGAGGCAGTAAATTTAAGTGAGTTTTATGTGTTAAAACCTGAACTCAAGTTTGTTTCAAATGTTGTGATCCCCCAGTTCATTAGATGCTCTGTTCTTTAACACAATTAAATGAATTAAACCAGTAAGCAGAGGACCTGCTCTTGGAAATGTGCCTGTAAGAAAATATAGCACACTCTTTCGGACATATTATTAATAAGACCATCCTTATTATCCTATCCCTTAGAAGTCAGCTCTTAGAAGTCAAAACTACTGCAGTACTGCAGAAAATACCCCATTTTCTGCACAGGCCCTCAGTATTTTCTATGAGCAATAATGCAGACACATCCTTCTTGAAAGAAAACGAGGTGAAGTGGCTTTGCTTAAAATGATTTAGTGGCCAGTTTAGGAATCACTAGAGCCTGAACTCCAGCTGCCAAGTGTAACCCAAGATAAAACACATTTCCCCATCTATACCTCCTTCAGAATTATAGCAGTAGGCAGTGTAGTGTCCTGAGCCAAATCCTTTCCCATGGTGCATTACTACAGCAGATACGTCATAGATAAAACATTTGGTCTGAGGGATTTCACCAACTCCCTGCAGCAATAGGGCTCCATGTTTAAGATTTCTTTAAAGCCAACATGAACACCAATCTCCCAGTTATTACGTCCTGACCATCTGTGAACAAACCAGGGTAAAAGTATTAACAAAATCAAGAGAAAATAACCAGGTACCAGGTTAGGATAGTCAATGTGGTCATCTTCCCAGTATTAGATCCAAGCATGGCAAGCAATGTTTGTGTCACATACATAGTATGAGCTAGGGTTATGGGGGGAAAATAATGTCATATATGGTAGTTCTCTCAAGAGATTGTAATACATTTAGGGTGGTGGTGAACAGAGACAAAAGACAGACTTCAATGCAAATGATAGCTTTAAAGTACTAAATAAAATGAGGTTAAGATAGACAATAGCAGATAGAGAATGAAGAAAGGAATATAGACAGGTTTATGAAGGGAAAAAATGTGAAAATGCTTCCTGGTACAATGTTAAAATGTCATGGAGCTGAAAGGAAGACTTGCTGAAATACAGCAAAATGACAGACAAGATAATTTACCCAAAATGCATAATGGTTTACTTCTGAGAAGGGAAGAAAACAGACTGAAGGCACACACAGGGAACTTCCAAGCTATTAAAAATACTCCTTTTCTTATGCTTCAAAGAGCTCCTGTGTGCCCCTCCCCAGTCCCATTCTCCCTTTTGTCTTTTACTTACCTATATATTTTATACACTGGCAAATATAATAGCACTTCTTTAACAGATAAAGGAGAAAGACAAATGTGGTGGTAAAGGCAGTGTAAACAAAGTCTGATTCAGATAAATCAAGGCATGAAGGATCAAAAGTGGGGCAGAAGACAGAAGGAAATGGAGTCAAATAGATTTCTATTAAGGAGACCTTCAAATGCCAGATTAAATAGTGATTATGAACAGCAAGAGGTTCTTCAACAGTTTATAGTAGCCAATTATCAGTTTAGATAAACAAAAATTTAAATCCTTTCAATTCTGTCTTTACAGAATCTCCTGTATGTTCTCACTTTTCAGTGCTCTCTGACCCTTGTTACCTGAACCTGGAATATAGTATTAACCTCCTAAGG